GTTACCCTTTCTTCTAGCGAGGAAAGTTGTGTCATCTACACACGGCAAGTTAATGCAGCTTCCTCCCAACATGACGCTGTCTTCTTTAAACAGCCCAACTTTCTGCATTGTTTGCTCAGCATACAGACTGAGAATGGACTGACAGAAAGCCACTCTGACACACAGCTTTCCTGATTTTAAACTATCCAGAAATCCCTTGTTCTGCTTAAATGACTGCCTCTTTGCTTATGCAGTTTCCGCATGAGCACAATTAGGTACACGGAGTTTGTTGTGATCCATAGAGTCAAATGCCTCCGTGTAGCCAAAGTCACAGGTAAACAGCTTTCTGACAGGATGCTTCCAGCCACGTCTATCTAAAATCAATAACGATGGCCCTTGTACCATGTCTTCTCACTCTGGCTTGAATTTCTAGTAGTTCCCAGTCAGTGTACCAGTTTGCAACCACTGAAAAACTATCTTGAGCAATAATCTTGTTTGATGATTTCTGCATTCTGTGAGGTCATCTTTCTTTAGGATGGGCACTTACAGGACTGTCTTCCAGTCAGTCGATCAGGTTCTTGTCTTTCTTGGTAGAGAAAAGCGAGTGATTCCACTGTTGCATCTGCTTGTGGAAACATCTCGATTGGTAGCCTATCAACACCTGAAGCCATTTTTTTCCTACCAATGTCTATAGTTCAGCTTGGCTTGCTCATCTCTGTACCACAGGCTCTTGAATATAGGCTATCTTCTACAATTTTTTTTCTTCTACAATTTTTAAGCATCAACCCTTTCTTTTGGGTGTCGTGACTCTACTTATTCCTTCCATATCCTCGTGTCGCTTCTGTTGACCTTCACATTGTTCGCACAGAGCACTTCAGCAGTGAAACACCGACCTTGCTTTTTGACCCCCTTTAGTTCTTCGAGGTTGAGAAATACCAAGCATGTTTATTTCTTTTGGTTTTGCAACTTCATAGTAATACTTTGTTTTCTTAAGCCAGTCTTTGAGCTATTCCGTTCAGGTCTTTGGGTTAATAATTTCATTCACTCTAGCTGCTCTACATTTTAAAGTGTTTCAGAATTTCTTCTGAAATCCATGTTGGAATTTTCTTTCTTGTCTGTCTTTTTAATGATCCTTCCCTTTCGTCATCTGGCCTTTGGTCAATAGTATTCACTGTAAGATTGTTACTAAAATCAGATGCAATATACATAACGTCGAACTTTGGCTCTTGTGGACTTATTTTCAGTTTTTTCACATTCAACTTGAATGACGAGGAGAGCCCTTGTTCTGCAGCTGTCCCCTAGCCTTGTTCTGACAGATGATTTTGAGCGTCTTCATTTTTTCTTTCTGCATTTGTAATTGACTTGGTTCCTATGTACTCCATCCTTCAAGGTCCACTTATATCTTCAATGTTTATGTCATTAAAAGAGGACATGTGTTTCCTCTCTAAAATGGAGATTCTCCTATGTGCTCAGACCACCCAAGACTTTTAAGAGAAGTAAATGAGTTCAATGTTGTAAGATGTTTAGAACACTATCTGGCCCTAGATGTGATAGTTAAATAAAATAGACACTCTTGGGGGGTGAAAAAAAGAGAATATTTGATCCGAATAAGTAGTTTGTCTTGCAAAATTCTATCAGGAAATCTCCATGGTCATTTTTATCATTAAGGGCATATTTTCAAAATACTTATACATCTTCTTTGTTCCTAACTTTTGGAATCCAATCATTAGTAATTATTAATGAACTTTTATTGCAAGTTTGATCAATTTCAGACTGCAGAAGTTCATTAAAATCTTTAATTTTTGGCATTTGTTGGTTTTTAAACTTGAATAGTCGTCTTACTCACTGGCTTTTTTTGTAAATATGTGGACATTCTATTATAACCCACAGTGTTTTTCATGACAGATCTTGACATTTTCTTTTTGATCAGTGATAGAATGCCATTCCTCTTTAATGTGTCATTCCTATAGAGTAGATCATCTGTGTACTTGAGTCAAAAGAGCTGATACACATCTATTTCAGCTAATACATGAGATACAGAACTCTATGCATTTCATTTCACTTTTAATGACTTCTAATTTTCTTAGATTTATGCTTTGTACAGTTCATAGTCTGATTATTTATGCATGTTTGTATTGGTTTCTTCTAATTCTTTTCTAATTATTTATATCAGAATTCCTTGTGATATAAATTTTATAATTCTGTGAGGGGGTAATTGTTATTTACATTATTTATAAGCCATTGCTTACCTAATTATTTTGCCAGTAAATTGTATATGGAAATTTAAATTACGAGATAGATGGATACATATGACAAAAAATATACAAAACACTAAAATATTACTCTGAAATAGGCCTGATGAGATGTAAAACCCTTGGAGCATTGACAGTCTACTTTCAGCAATAATCTGTACCAGTAACTCTCTTATGTCCATGTGTGGCAATATGAAACCAATTAAAGCTTACTCAAGTTTTAAGTCTTAAATATACTTGTGTAGGAAATTATTATGTTTGGGAGTTCTGCATCTTCCTTTCTGTTTTAACTGAAAGTAAATCCTAGTTCCCAGGAGTACTAGACTTTGCTGTAGGAAGATGTTGAAACTTCTTGCTTTGAATGAAAAAATATTGTCTTGCCTACAGGGGCAGTAGCTAACACTTTTTGAGTTATTATCATACTTTATGTACTTTCCTAAGTACTTTAGGTGTATTACCTCTAATTCTCACTATAACCTAGGAAATAGCTACTATAATCCTCCCAATTCCACGGTTAAGCAAACTGAGACATAGAGATGCTAAGTGACTTGCCCAGGTTAACCAACCTGTAAAAGGTGACCCTGGTATGCAAGCTCTGAGCTCCTTAGCAAGCAGTTGATAGTAGTAGCCGGGCACCATCTAGTTCTTCTGGTCTCTTGGTTGTGGAGGCTGAAGTTTGCATGGTCTAGTAGTATATTGAACTAAATATGTCCTTATGCACTGTTAGTGGTTCTCAGAAGATGTACTCTTACAATTTTACTTGATTCTTTCCAGATCCAGCTAAATTCTTCATTGGAGATAAGAAATCTTTGTTGTCTATAAAAGACATTTACTTTAAATACCTTTTGATGAGAGTGGCAGGGAAAAAATGGTCTAAAAGTAGGGAAAGGTATTCTCAAATCGGGGCCCAGTGAGGCAGAGTTCAGAGCCTTTCAGGAAAAATCAGAAACTGATGAAAGTAAGAGCTCCATTACTTCTAGGCCTCCCTCAATCTTTAGGACCTCTATTTATATCAGTAATACTAAGAAGAAGAAAAAAAAGTTTTGAACCAGAAACTGAAAGGCCTAATCACAGCTTTCAATATCAATCACAGGCCTCTTGTGGTTACAAGTTCTCTTACTATCCTGAAGGAACTTTACACAGCCACTATCATGCTTGTTTCCAAAGCCCAAGTCCTAAAGGACATGATCCATAAGAAGGAGATGGCATCCCATGCGGTGGCCATTCTAACATGATCTGGGGAAAACTGTCCCCCTGTCCCAAGTATTTTGGATGGCAAATGTGGTGAAGAAAGCTGATGGTGCCCAACTAGCAAAAGATATAGCATCTGGGGTCTTCAAGGCTTGAAGGTAATCAAGCGGCCATCTAGCTCAGAAGCAACAAAGCCCACATGGAAGAAGCACACCAGCCTGTGTGATCACAAGGTGTCAAAGGGATCAAGTATCAGGCATCAAAGAACAAAAAATCAAATCATTATGAATGAGGAAGAGTTCAGAGTGGGGACCCAAAGCCCATCTATAGGCTATTGGACATCCCCTTACAGAAGGGTCATGTGGAGGAGATGAGCCAGTCAGGGTGCAGTGTAGCAATGATGAAACATACAACTTTCCTCTAGTTCCTAAATGCTTCATCCCCCCACTTTCATGATCCCAATTCTACCTTACAAATCTGGCTATGCCAGAGGATATACACTGGTACAGATAGGAACCAGAAACACAGAAAATCCAGGATGGATGATCTCTTTAGGACTAGTGGTGAGAGTGGTGATACTGGGAATGTGGACGGAGGCTGGGGTAGAGAGGGGGAACCGATTACAAACCCTAGAACGAACCCTTATGGATCAGCATCACGTCAAAGGCAGTGGTTGTTTACTATGCAATTCCGTGCACTTTCACCTGGGCTACTTCTTATTATACCACAACAAAAAGGGAGAAGGAAATTGCTTGTGAGAGTTTAGGAAACTCTCAAGTGCCCATTGTCATTAAATACTTAGCAGTAATGGGAGTATAAACTCTGGGCAGGGGGAATGGCAGGAATGAAAGGTTAGGGGATGCAAGTTCCCAGACTCAGGATGGGGAGGACAGGCCATGGCTAAGATCAGACAGCACTCCATGATGTTAGTACCAATGGATGTTTGGTGTTCCCAAGAAACTAAAAGAACTTTTGGAGATAATGAATGCTGAATATATGTAAGACCATTTTCTGGTTTCTAGAAACTAGCTATATATAGCTAATGATTTTACTTCACATGTTATATTGCCAAAATTATTATTTCTGCAGATTCCAGAAAAAGTTTTAAAATTTCAACTAAAAAAAAAAAAAGACCCTATTGAAAACCCCAAAGAACTTATTTGCATGATAGGTACCATAAGTGAAGTCCAAAGACTAATTTTGGATAATAAGCTTTTGAAGCATGACAGTGATTCTACATGTGGGTCATTAATGAACCCAGATAACTTTCACACAGGGAAAGGACAGTTGTGTTCCTGTGTAATTCTTTTCTGGATAGTTTATTCTCTGACCTTCCAGCTGTTATGAGGTCAAGGTTTTTGCTACCAAATCAGCATCTTATCCTCTCTTGCTCTTGTCTTTTTATATAATCATCTGACTAGTAAGGCATTATTGTGTCTTAACTAGTATAAAAAATGTTGCTACTTAGGTCCACAGGAATGGAAATGGTTTATGTCAAAGTAAGATATGTACTCTTACCCAGAAAGTGTTCGTTTTGGTGGTTAATATTTTATTCCATCATAAATTGTTTTCTTCCAGTGTCAGTTCCTTAGAGGATATAAATTTAGATGTGAAATACAAAGGAAGGAATTTCCACAAGAAAAGAACACATAAGCCTTACCATTCTGAAGTTATGCAAAAAGCATCCAGTAAGTAATCAGGGTTGATAGATTTTTATTATGCTATGGTTATATAAATTAGTGTGCTAAAGGAAAATAGCTCTTCTGTGTGCTAGGGGTGATCTTGTTCTGCAAGCTAGATGACATAGTCACCTGATTTTCATTTTACAGAGGAAAAAAGGGGGTCCAGAGGCATTGACTAATTCAAGGCTGCACAGTGCCTGTGTGGCAAAGGCTGTCAGCACAGACCTGTAAGGTCGATACCAGAAACATGGATAGCACCCGAGAACATGCAAAGTTCCCCAAACACATTTGTCAGCAACATGTTACTTCCACCCCGAATTGTTTAGGAAATGAAAATGAAATAAAGCTATTTCTTTGCCTTCAGAAAATCTAAAGCCACACTGAACAATGGCTTAATCTAGTTTTTGTCTGACTGCGAAAGCATTTTATATATAAAAAAATCATTGAAACAAAAGAACACGATCACGTTGAAGCATATTACTTAGAAACAGATGTGAGAACAACTCTCAAAGCTCCATCAAATAATGAGAACATCTCAACACTACGAATATATTTTTCAATGTTTATCCCTGGGACAGTGGCCTTCCCATATGGTAGGTAGGCTGATTCTAGAATTTCTGGTGAAACTTGGCTGTCAAAAGCTACATAATTATTTTCTAAAATCCACTAGACATGTGTACACTAATTGACTTCAGTGGGTTTTTGTCAGACTTACATGACGTATTACATGTAAAGCACTTTAAACAGTAGCTGATATAGTGTAGAAATTCAATACAATTTTATTAGAATATTTTGTTCATGTTATGAATTCTATTGCTTATCTTGGAACACAACCTTTGGTATAAAACACACTTTGGTCTAAGTCCATGTCCTGCCCAGCTATGCACACTCAGCCAAATTACAGAGTTTACCAGCTATGTAAACTCAGCCAAATTACTAAAGTATTCTCAGTCTTCAGAGCATGGCAGTATCTTAACAGATTGTGAAGATTTCTTCTTTGACTGCCCTAGCACAACAGCATTCTGGGAACTTGTTAGATACGGGTCCTCGCCTGGTCTCATAAAGCAGAAACCAGGGTTGGTATGTGGCCATGTCGGGTTTAACAGGCCTCCAGGTGCGTCTGAAATCTGCTGACGCTTGAGCATCGCTGACATAGCACGTGCCTATGCCACAGCTGTGCTGAGTAGGCATCTATCCCTTACCTTTGCACGGAGGCCGCACAACAAACACACCCACAGCTCACACTTTCACAGAGCTGACAATCCTACAGACGTCCAGGCACATCTTGAATCACGCTTTTGTATATTTCCATTCCATAATCCATGTATCACTTGAAGCCAATAGAGATGTTCTCCCTCCCCACCTCCCCCCAACTTTGTTTTAAAAGATAGGATGAAAACAGCTTCTTTTCATCTCATTGTGTACATAATAAATACAACGAAAACATACCTTTGGGTTACATATAAGCAACATTTAAAAGTACCTGCAAATTCATCATTTTAAGGGGTTGTTAAACAGCAAACATATAAAAAGATTCCATCTCACCAAAGATACGCTTTGGGTGGGAGTGGGGGGCAGATACCAGAGAAATGGGAGCTTTGCCAAAGCTGCAGCACGCTCGTGTTCTAGTGAAAATAGCAAAAGAATAAAAGGGGGAAAAAACCCCACAAAGATTTGGAAGCTGTTAGCTCCGTTCAGTTTCTTTGAATCAAAAGAGCACGGCTTTCTCTTGAACAGCTGTGTGTAGAGGGTTTGCAGATCCCTGCAGCTGTACGGGAGGAGTAAGAGGAAAGTTACATTTTAAAAGTTAACTTTGCTTGGAAACATGCTGCTTTCTTCTGAGGATTAATGACCTTGTACTTTTTCTCGTGCCCTCGCCTCAATTCCGCTGTTGTGAAGGGGCATTTAGGTCATTAAGCATCAGTGTCCTGAAGGAGCTGCCCGAAGTGCATCCACCTGCCTTTCTTCTCGACCATGAGAAGTACTTTCGGGAAGAGCCAGAAGAATGGCCCCAAGTCCCAGCCCTTCCGCCACTTTCTGAAAGTGAGACTGCAACCATCCCGTACCTTCATTATCTCTCCCCGTGAAAGTCAATCCATTTTAAAAATCAAGTAGAATAACCTGGAAGTAACAAGTGCTTGCTTTGTAGGTTGGGGCGAAATGAAGTGTGGCAGGTCTGTTAAGATTTAGAGCTCAGTTGCTGATCATGCTTCCAGCAAGGACAGCCAACAGGCTAGAATACATGCAAGCGATATTTGTGCTTTGTAGCTCTTCTGAAGTCAGAAGGCCAGGAGCCTGTATCCTGAATTGGCCATCCACGAGAACTCCCCACCCCAAATAAGCTTAATTTTCAAAACTGGTATCAGGGAAAGAGCATCATAAGACTGATTGAGAACAGAAACTCTGACAATCTGATTTTGTTCTTTCATGTGAAACACTATAAATAGTGGCTACTTACAGTGCATTGTCTTGAAGACTTCCAGCTGCAGTGCTAGGCTAATATGATGAAACAACAAGAAAACTTAACTTAGACAATGGAACTGAGTGGTAGGTGAAGGTTTGGGAAGAAGATTACAAAAGGGATCATTTGATTTTCAGACTATTAAACAATTCTGAGTTCCTGAGAATTTAGCAAGTAATTTCTGGACCAAAAAAAAAAAAATCACTCAACAAGGAGGTGCCTAATGGGAGCACCAGGCAGCAAAAGCTGCTCCTCAGTGAAGCACGGAGAAAGCATATGGACACTTCAGGGAAACTCGTGCAAAATCATTAATAAAAGTGCAAATCTTCCCATTGTCCTATTCACAAGATTTGAATTATCCTCCAGAATCTGAGAGATACGGTGTCTGAACATTTCAGATCCTCTGAGAAAGGGGTTCAACATTTATCCTTGAGAAATAAAGACCCTTTAGAGTAGCTGGGTGTTTCCATACTTACAGAGGTTTAAGCCTTCTCTTTTGCTTGGTCCCCAATGACAGTAGAGAACAGCTGGTCGACATTTTTTTTTAGTTCCCCTTATAAACAAAGTCCAATTGTTACACCTCATCCCCATAGTTTCCAGTCTAATTATTATCAGCTCCCTTTACCTTTTCTCTGATGTTCTATTTCCTAAATTTATAATCACTTGCTTATTCCTGTAAGGGTCATCCATAGTGTCTTCCCATAGCTCATCAAAAGGTGACATTATAAATGTCAGGGCTCTAAATAGCCTTTAGAGCACCTAATTCGGCTTTTTGTCTCTCATCTTACTGTTTGTCACTAAGATGATTTGTTAAGAATGAGCTTGAGAAGACCTATTTTGTCCTCCTGAGTTTCCACAGAGGAGTCTGAGGCTGAAGGCAGTCAGTAAGCAAACATTCAGAGAGCCAAGCCAGAGTTGTAAAAATAGCTCAGCCATAGGACGTGCACATAGCAGGAGACGGAGACGGAACGAGAAGTCAGAATTAAGGCATGCGAAGTGTCCGGGCTATAGAGAACATGGAGAGTATGGCAGGGAAGTGAGGTAAGCAGAGTGTAACTAAGGACTCACTCCAACAGTGAGAACCCTTTCTCTTGTGAGAAGCCTTTTATATTTTGCCACAGGAGGAATCGAGACATGCACTCTCCTTATGGAGAATGTGATTGTGGAAGGATGTGGAGTAGGTGGCTGAGAGCAGTACTTAAAATACCCAAAATACGTCTTCAAAGATCCTTTCTCTCATGGATTTCTTCCAATTAAATTTCTTAGAATTTTCTCACAGGTTTTAGAGAAACTTTCTTTCTTTTAATTTCTTATTTTCTTATACCTTTTCTGTTTTTGCAATTTCTTTATGTGTTTTTTTTTACTGGAACACCTTCTCTTGGAGTGAAAATATCTTTCAAAAGTGCCATCAATTTGTGAACGAGGAGGATGCAATTCATTGATGACAACAGGCTGCATTAACACATGACAGCACAGCTGAGGTTCTGTGAAACTACCTAAGAAGAAATCACATTAGTTCTGGATATGATTTAGGAAGGAATTCACAGAACGAGGGTCACAGTTGAGCCGGGAATGGTGTGCAAAGGATGAGGGAGAAGAAAGAGCAGTCATGGTGTTCAAGGAAGAAATATAGTGAAAGGCTCAGCAGAAATAAAAACGGGATCACAGTCAAAACGATTGAGTCGACTACAACAGGTGAGCAGATGAGATGTTACCTGAGTTAGGTGGAGGCAGAGTGTAATGACGGGTGTGCAGTGTTCAGTTTGAGGTTCTGGTGTAGCATGTGGAACTACAGGTCTGGCTATGGAAAGGGATTATAACATACAGTGCATAATGTAATAAGATAACAAATAGTGAAATCATGTTTGCTGATTTGTTTCCAGCCTTCCCTTCCTAGGGTAATTATTGAATGCCTTCTCTGTGCTGTACTGAGGTCCATGTGAGAGACGTTTTGTTGTTAGGTGACATGGAAGAGGTCATGTCCGACCCTTAGTGACCTTCTGCAAAACAGAACAAAACCCTGCTCAGTCCTGCGTCATCCCCACAATTGTTCTGATGATGGAGTCCATTGTTGCAGCCAGCGTGTCAATCCATTCTGTTCAGTCCCTTCCTCTTTTCCCCTGCCCCTCTACTTTATCAAACATGGTGTTTTCCTCCAGGGACTGGTCTCTCCAGACAACATTTCCAAAGTGTAGAAGACCAAGTCTTGCCATCCATGCCTCCCAGGAGCACCCTGGCCATACTTCTTCCAAGATAGCTTTGTCCTTCCAAGATGCACAATTCACATGCATCAACTCGTCTTTGGCCTTCTTTATTCAGTGTCCAGTTTCACCTGCATACAAGGCAATCAGACTTACCCTGACTTGGGTCAAGTGCACCGTAGTCTTCAAAGTAACGTCTTATACAACATATTGATCTAACGCAACTTGTTTGATCTTTTGATTGTTGCATCCATGAGCATTGCTTGTGGATCCAAGCAAGGTGAAATCCTTAACAACGTCAGCCATTTCTCCATGTATCATGATCTTAGTCATGGGTCCAGTTGTGAGATGTTGGTCTTTTTTGCATTGAATTGTAATCCATACTGAAGGCTGCAATCCTTGATCTTCATCAGCAAGTGCTTTCAACAAAGTTGTTTCATCTGCATATCGCAGGTTGTTAATAAGTCTTCCTCCCATCCTGATGCCACATTCTTCTTCCTATAAGTCAGCTTCTCTGAAGACTTGTCAGCATACAGCTGGAGTAAGCATGGTGAGGGATACCATCATGTCACACACTTTTCCTGATAGTAAACCAAGCAGCATTCTCTTGTTCTGTTCTCACAGCTGCCCCTTGAGCCATGTACAAGTTCCACATAAACACAGTGAAGGAATCTGGAATTCCCGTTCTTCTCACGGTATCTAGAGTTTGTTATGACCCACACGGTCAAATGCCTTTGCATGGAGACATAGAGAATGTAAAAGGTCAACCTTCAAAACTCTTGAAGTCAAATTGGTGAATTCACTAAATAAGGAAACAATCATGTTTTATAACAAGGCTTTGTGAAGATTATCTCTGGGTATTGTGTGGGAGAAATGGAGATTCAGGAATAACACATTGTGCCTGAGATGTAGATTTAAAGTCAAATTGATGGGGTCGCTATGATTCGAAACCAACCCACAGGCTCCTAATACTCTCCCCAGAGATAAGAAAAGAGGGAACTGGTATTTCTGGCAAAGGAGTTCTCACAGCCATGAGTGGATTTCAATGCATTCTGACTCTATGGGACAGAGTAGAACTGCCCTGAAGATTTCTGAGACTTTAAATCTTTATGGGAGTAGAAACCTCATCTTTCTCTTTCAGACAGTTGGTAGTCTTGAACTGCCGACCTGGAGGTTAGTAGCTCAATGCATAACCCACAATACCACTAGGGTTTCAAGGCCTAAATGGCTGAGTTCTAGAAGGGACATGATGAGTGTTAAGGCTAAGTAGGTAGTTAGAGTCAAATCATAAAGTACCTTGTGTACTGTATGGGAAAGTTGGTATTTATTTTTATCAGAAATATGGAGTAATTGGGATGCTTTAGCTAACTAATTTGAATCATTCCATTTTAATTTCTCTTTTAGTTTTTAAATTTTTATTATCTTGTATGATTATTTTAATGATTACCCTAGAAAGTGCAATCCTCTTTCCTGGGCTCTTTATTGCATTTTGTGATGCCTGGCTTCCATCTGAGACCATTTTCTCTTTGTGAGAAGAACATGCAATATTTCTTACAATGTGGTGAATAAATTCCCTCAGCTCTTGTGTATCTATAAAAGTATCTTTATTTCCCTTCAATTTTGGAAGGGTATTTCCACCGAATATTATTTTCCAGCACTTTAGAGATTACATCACCAATTTATTTCATAATTTTTGCTGAAATTCATTTCCTAATATTGTTGATTCTTCTTTGGATGTAACATCATTTTTTTAGCTGCTTTTGATATTTTTATCTTGATCAGTCTTTAAAAATACTTTTTGGGAGTTTGATGAACAAGAATCTAAATATGGCTTTGTGTGTTCATGTGGGAGAAAGAGGTTTTCTGCTCTCAGAAAGAGTTACAGCCTCAGAAAGCCAGAGGAGCTGTTCTACTCTGTCCGATATGGTTTTCCTGAGTTCAAGTCTACTCAAAGGCAGTGAGTGAGAGCTAATGTCTTTATACTACTTAGGAGTCAGTGGAATTCTTTACTTTTGATGTGACCATTTTATTGGCATTTAGTTCACATATCACACAATTCAGTAGTTCAATCACCTCAAAAAGAGTTGCACAATTGTCACCACAGTCAGCTTCAGGACAGTTTCTTCAGGATTGTACTCATTGGATATTAGTTGCCCATTTTCCCATAGCCACCCCTGCCTAATTGTCTCTGTAGAATTACCTATCTTGGATTTCATTTTCTTTTTTTAAATCATTTTATTGGGGCTCATACAATTCATCAGGATTTCATTTTCAGAAAAATATTGAAAAGCATAAAAACTAACTACCTAATGAAAAACTAACAAGAACAACAAAGTAAACTAGATAAAAATCTCCATCAAAAATAAGCAGAAAATATTAAA